ACTTTTTGGGTTTGTTAAATACAACACTGAAAGCGTTTTTGCTATATTTGTTCGGTAACTAAAAAAAAAAAACAACTTGTTGATCATGCCTAAAAATTAGGACTGCGCTGTGCTGCAGTCCTAAGTAACATTGTTCCTAGTTATCTGTGGCATGTCCTATGTCAGCCAAAGAGGGCATGCAGAGGCCTCTCTGGTGGCACGCGAGCCTAGGTTCCGGTTCCCGCACACTCCAGGTCCTCACATGGGGTGCTCCGCACAGGCCTCTGGTGTTCCACTGGTCTCGCCGTCATATTACGTTTTTAAAGATGGCGGCAGCCATCTTTAAACCTGGAAGGTACCCGGGTCCTATTTAATATATTGCCTATACAAGCTGTTGGACATCGCAAAAAGTTATTAATACCCACGCAACCCCTTCTCTTCTTTGCGGCTATAACAACATAAGGTTTTCCACAAGATTTTGGAGTGTCTGTGGTAATCTGTGCCCATTCAGTCAAAACAGCATGAGGAGACCTGGCTCCCAATTGGCGTTACAATTCATCCCAGAGGACGAGGTCAGTCTTAGCGATACCGAACGTTGGCACGTGGAACTATCCATCCAGTTAATCCATTTCAGTTTAAAGGAGCCTTTATTCAGGTAGCTTTAGACACAACACGTGATTTTCCATCAAACAGCAACAGATCCACTTTGAGCGGTGGATAGAAATTGGCCAGTAGCTCGCTGTGGATGTCCTTGTTCTTGCTGATGCAAAACTGGCTTGTTTCTATTCAGCTCTCATTAGAGACTGGAGATGATACAGTGGGAAATTGGGCAGCAGCATGACATTTCTAATGAGGAAGAATTGTCCAATATGTACTAGAGAAAAGGAGTACAGGCAGAGGTTTTACTATAAAAAAATAAGAGACTGCAGATGACCCAGCAGCAGGACAATTTTAAATAAGCAAGGCTAGGCCCAAATATACTAGAGACACAAGGGCACAGGCTGGGGAGTTACTACAAGAACATAGATATAGCAATGTAAAATTGGCCAGCAGCAGGACATTTCTTATGAGGAAGAATTGTCCAATATGTACTAGAGCAGGGGTAGGCAACCTTGGCACTCTAGCTGTGGGGAAACTACAAGTTCCATCAAGCCTCTGGAAGTCATGCCTGTTACTGACAAAGGCTTGCAATGCATCATGGGGCTTGTAGTTTCTCAGCAGCTAGAGTGCCAAGGTTGCCTACCCCTGTACTACAGAAAAAGAGCACAGGCAGAGGTTTTACTATTAAAAAAATAAATAAATAAGAGACTGCAAATGACCCAGCGGAAGAATCATTGGAGTAACTGGTGTATGCCTTTTATTGTATCTATGGGGATGGGGTGAATGTAAACAATATTATCACTAAATATTTATATATAGTGAGGTGGTTTAGGTGAACATTATTCTTGCACTTACATGTTTTTTTTTTCTTTTCGATTAACCAGTAGAGTACTGCGAACAGGCAGCTTCTCTTATATGGCCAGTACCAAGTGAATGCTTTCCTTTAAGCATTCACCCAATAATGAAAAAAGCAGCACAGGCGTTGATTGGCCAAGTAGCTAGCAATACGAATTAAAGTACAGTTTCTTAAAGGAGAACTTTGAAATTAGTGCTTTTCACTCACCTCATAGTTCTAGCAGACCTGTGACAATGAGACTGTCACAGGTCGGCTCAGTAGATCGGGAGGTGAGCGAACACATACCGGGTTCGCTCACCTCTCGATCCTGTCACGGCTCTCTGCCGTGACAGGGGGAGGGGCTGGATTCCCCTCTCCGATCTGCCAGCGTTGACTGGCAGAACGGACAGGGGAGGGGGCGGGTACAGCTGGCTCTGCCTCTAGATAGGCAGAGCCAGCTGTCACTCACGCAGCTGGGCGGATCCCGACGTCCAGGTCGGGATCCGCTCCGGCGTCTCAGTATACCGCAAGCTGTAGCTTGCGGTATACTGAGCTTAGGTTAACGGGAGGACGCTAGTTTGTGTCCTCCCGTTACCTAAGGAGGACTATGGGGAAAAGCCCTGACCCCATAGTTCTCCTTTAATGGACCCTAATATCTCGCTATGCAGTTTATCAGCGTCCCCTACAGCTTCAGTTCCCAATTCACTGCGACCATGGCTGCTCTTTGCCCCACCCCTTTTATAGCCAGGGTTCTGGCTTATCCAAAAGCTTTCTAATGCCCCTTCACAGCCTGCTGGACATATAATGCAAAAAAAAATAAAAAAAATCTCCCGGGCAAATCTGCACAAACATTCACCGGGGTTGTGAATATCAAACCTGCAGGATTTGCCTCTTAACCCATCGTAACGGAAAACGACCCTAATCAATCACAGAAATGGTAGTGCTAGGCAATGGAACTGTGGAAATCCCAAGACTGGATGGACAGAAATGTGGGATGTTTGTACTTACAGTAAAACCCCTTTCTTGGTGTCCACGGAGGGAGACAGGAATTCTGAGACTCTCAGGTTATGCAGCCTAGGATAAACCCTCCAACTCCCAGTATGCTTTGGTTTTGTGGGAATACAGCACCAGGCAATAGAGGGAGATCTCTCCTAAATGAACTAGAGCCAGAGGGATGGAAGAATGATGTACAGGTTGAGGTGGAAGGACAAAACTACTTTAGGCAGGAAGCTTCGGGCCTCAACTCCACCATGTCTATGTGTAAGACAAGAAAGGGTACAGGATAAGGCCGCCAGCCCAGACACTCCCCTCAGGGATGGTGATAGCAACAAGAAACCTTGAGAGTGAAGTTGGAAAAGGGAATGTCCCTGATTGGTTCAAAAGGCATCTTCTGAAGTGCCGAAAGAGCCAGTTTCAAATCCCACTATGTCACGGGGGAATGTATAAGGGCAGCCACATGAGACACCCTGGAACAGGTCTTGATTAAAGAATAGGAAGCAAAAAGCCTTTGGAAAAAGATCACAAGGGCAGAGACCTGACCCCTAATGGTGATAAAGGCCAAATGCTTGCCCAGGCCCAATTGCATATAAAGGGATTTGCACCACTGAGAATTTCCTGGTGTGATCATTTCTCACCTTGCACCAAGCAAAATATGCCTTTGATATGTGGTGCTATACCTTGCAGGAAGTAGTCTTCCTAGTTTTTAGCATCGTGTGAATCACCGATTCAGAGAAGCCTTAGTCCCTCAGAACCTTAGCTTCAACAGCAAGTGCGAAGCAGAGTGGTAAAGCGGTCCTTGGGACAGAAGATCCAGACAACGTGGGAGAGCCCAGAAAGTGTCTGCCAGGAGTCTTATCAGGTCAGAGGACAACATTCGCCTGGGCCTGTCTAGAGCTATACAAAATAACCTCTAACTCGATCCTATATAAGCAAAGGAGTTTTAGGAGAAAATGTGTAGATTAGGGTGTACTGATCCCATAGAGCCACAAGAACACCCAATGCTTCCAGTAGAGCAAGGATGTCCAAACTGCGGCCCTCCAGCTGTGGTGGAAATACGGATCCCCCGAGCGCTCTTGAATGCAGACTTGGTGTGTTGTGTGACCCCGGCCCTTATGCTCTTTACAATGAATGACAAGTTTGCTTCAGGGCCCATTCACACTAATGTGCTACCAGCCTATTAAAAATAAATGGGCTTCCTCAATGCATGTTAAAGTGTGTGCAGCGCATAGTATGAATGACCTGTCAGATTTTACAAATCTTTACCCATGATGTGCGCAATAATACTCAAAATTATGTGTACTGCAACCTATAAAACTGACACCAACAAGGAGTAAGTTTTTATTCATTTTAACAAGACACAATGAGAAATATTTGTCTTACAAAAACATTTACAAAGCTTTCTCTGAAAGCTTTTTATTTACATGGTAAAAAAATCCCTTTTGGTTGGGATCCGGTACAAACAGCATTGTTGTTTATTAAATGTTCATAGGATGGCAGGTAGTTCGGGAGCAAAAACACCTACAAGATGAGGCGATATTCTTCATCTCTCTGTCCTGGGCAATGACATGAAGAAACTCAGAGTACAGTCTACATCCTTTTATGACCATGTGATTTCTCAAAACGAATGGCGTTTGACAAATGACAACACCTACCAGCACGCAGAAGACTGGGTGAACTTCACCACAAAATCTGTTTTAGGGCTTATGTACTCAGCAGCAGGATCAAAAGCAAGTAAAATGCATAAGAAAATGGCTTGCTTTAAAAGGCACTTCGCCTTACATCAAGCTGCCTTGCTTTTGCCTTCACACTGACTTGTATGGTGACACAAAACATATACAAGGGCCCCAAGTGTCCTTGTCACAGAGCAGAAGCCATTTTGGGGCTCACATATGCATATTTCATAAGAAAAAGTGTATTTTTGCTCTATGAACATTTATGAGGTCACAAGCTCCTAAAAAAAATCAGGGCAAACAGCTTAAACCCAAAAAAATGGCTGCCAAACGCATGTGACAGTGTTACCTGAATCTGAGCTCACCCGCTGCTTCTCAGTGATACAGCTGCAGCCATATCTAGTGTGATCAGTCCTGAACCCCCAACATGGGGGTGAGGCCACAAGTTAGCACCTGCACATTCCAGTTAGTACGGCTCCTATATGTACTAAGATGTCACAAAGGACAATAAATTTATACTTTCAATATATAGCCTGCACTCTAGTCCTCCTCCACCATAAATATTTGTATATATATTTTTTAAAACTTTTGTCAACTCAAAATTATAATCTTGCTTACAAAATACTTTCCAAGGAGCGTAGATGTAAAGAAAATGTATTCAAATAACTCAAACTCTTACCTCAACATCCCTGCGCATCTGTCTTGCTGACTTATCTAAAGTAAATGTATTTGACATTTATGCCCAAGACAGTGTCTTGATATCAAAAAGAAAGACGCAAGTCAGTCAGGGTCAGATTATGTGAAAGGGGCAATTAACCCTTTCCCATTAATTTTGAAACTGCTGTAGTCATCCTTCATACAGCACGTCTAATGGAAGGAATGTTTGCTTCTGGTACGCATTTACATGGCAAAAAATAAAAGCCAATTAATCTGCTGAAAAGCTTTTCACCCATTTACAAGGCTCTTCCCTACTAAGAAATTCAAGTAGCTTTCTACCCTTATGAAGAGCAGCATATCGGGGCTTCAAGTGAGGAAGAAAAAAAAAACCAAAACACTCGCTGAAACCCATCTGATAATGAATTAAATACTCTGAACTCCTGGTGGCAAGCAGGCACTGTTTACTACTTTTGTACTCCATCGAGCACATGAACTGTCTTTATTACGAGACCCTTAACTGGAATGCTGAGGAAGGTTCTCTAGCAGCAGCCTGCGACCTTCTTCATAATCGTCCTCATCTACATTTACAAGGAGTTGTATGGTTTCCTGTCCGACAGCTTCCTTTAGAGAGTCAGTAATAAAAACCCCCTTCAGAGCTTCGAGTAGGGATCCATTCATGTAATCTGTCCAGAAGGCATCCAAGTAGGAGAGTTCTGAGAATTTGATATCGCAGATGATTGAGCCAAGGTCCCTAGATTTCAGAACTGTGTTGGACTGGCTGAAGAGATCAAACTGCCTCTCCAGTGGATTCTGCTTCACAGACAGAACATTCTGGCTTAAAATGGATTCGTGCTGGCAGTACTCTGCTCGAACACGTAGTCGGATTCCTAGAAAGGAGGAAGAAGAGGGGAAATAGGGAAGACAAGGAAAAGAAACAAAGTTAATATGAAGAAACAGGACTTTTTATTCCAGAGTCATGCAACTATAACAACACTTACAAGTTGTTCTAATTCAACCTTCAAGATATGAAGGACCAGCAAAGCTATGAGCCTCTAGAGCATTGAACAACTCATTTAATTTGCAGAACCCAGCCAATATCATATTTGCATCATGGCTATCCTATATTAAACAGACTTATTCTGAAAATGTATTACAATACTAAAAAACACCCCATTTTTTTTAACCCATCATTAGTTTTTGCTATAACAAGTCTGCGGAACTCAGCAAATATGGTTGTAGAAATTGGCTTGAAAAGAAATAGCTGGATTTTCTTCTAACTTTAATGTGAGACGATAGTGGGGAAAGACTAGACAAAAACCAGAAAGGAACGTATATGTTGTACAAGAATGCACTGGTGGCTGGTTACATACGCTTATAAGTGAATATTTTCCTCTTAATTGTTCTCTTTTCTTGTTGAAGGTCAACCTGCAGAAGTATTTAACCGAGAGTGCAAAACAGAACATTTTGGTTTCGTTTACATCAAAACATCTCCCCGAATTGCGTAACCGTCGCAAAAGGGGGAGCCAGGAACTCAGAACAATATGGCGGCAAGTCTTTCTTTAAGTGACAGACCAGGGATTTTGTCAGATATTGACCCGGTTGCTTAGATAAATGGTGCAAGGATTATGCAACAATTCTTATTCACATGTCACACTCCCAAAAAACAATTACTACGTCCTCGGGGGTGAGGGGTTACATTGGGAAACAGAAGGCCATAAATGTCAATTTATATGAAGTTCATACACATCTCAGATACTGGCAATTACAGTCAAAGTCACTAACGCTGCCTTTAATGAAGCAGTATTAAGGTGTATCATACAACTTCAGGAGTGCACGGCACCAGAGATGTTATACTTGTAGGATGATATAGACATTGGATACCGATAAAAGGAACCCTTGCACCTTTACTAACACAATTTCAAAATCTTTGTTACAGAGGACATTCCACCAAGATCACTGGTCTTTTACATTTTGATTATGAAAACAAAATTCCTGAATTATATCATAACAAAAAAGTTATTTCATATTAATACTCGATACCTTTAATGTTTTTACGGAGCATCCATGTACCAACTACAAAAGCTCAGAGGTAAGATGCACTTATTTATGCGTAGCATTCATTTTAATTCTTATTTATAATTTGTCCTTTCTATTTAACCTTACTGGAGTTCAGGGGTCTTTACTGCTTGGAATACCCATTTGCAAGGTAACTGACTTCATGTTCATCTGCAGAAATCAGAAGATATTTCATCGTAGATGAAGACTTGGAACATGTAGTATTTAAAGTGACAATAAACTCAGGAGTTGAATCTTAAAAATGCATTCAGGTACCTTAACTATTAACATAACTGTACCTTATTTGTGTCTCACTCGGCTCATCAAATCATCTCTAAATTGGTGCTGACACTGTCCTTCCTTCTGGAGGGGGGCTACTTTTGTTCCCCATGGTCCCCGTGTGTGCTGTAAAGTAGTCACCGATCCAAGCTCAGTCACGCGATGGACTACAATCTTTCTTATTTAACTACTTTGTATTGAGATTGTAGTCCATCACTGGAATGAGCTTGGCGCGGTGACTACTTTACAACACACACAGGGATCATGGGCAACAAAAGTAGCCCCCCTTCAGAACGCGTCGGTGGTGGATCTGGCCACCGCTCGTTCAGCGTGTGACGTCACCGTCATGTGACACCATGTGCTCCGCCTCCAAGATAACGGTGTGCATCTACAATCTCAATACAAATGGGTAAACTAAACATGAGATTGTAGTCCATCCCAGGAGTGAGCTTGGAGCGGTGACTACTTTACAACACACACAGGGACCATGGGGAACCAAAGTAGCCACCCTCCAGGAGGTAGAACAGTGTCCGCACCAATTTAGAGATTTGAGGATCTACAGCTGAGTAATACACACATAAGATACATTTTTGTTAATAGACAAGGTACTTGAATGTATTTTTAGGATTTAACTCCTGAGTTTAGGGTCACTTTAAGCAGATATATACGATTTGTTTGCTTCTACAGAAAGAGGGAAATTGTAACACTGTTGTTGTGCATTAGTAGTCAATGTGGCATACAGGGACCACTTAATGCGTCTTTTTAGCACATCAGACATCTGTAATGTAGAAATGTCAAACAATTGTTACGTTTTCCACTATGAGGAGCTTCATCCTCTACTCAGAAAATACATAATGACTGTACTAGGGTTTTATTTTTTATCAGCTGATGTGCATTTCAGCAGGCAAACAAGACCTTTCATTGTAGTTTTAGTAATTCATTTACCTACAGATTATTTTTAGACCCACTAAACATGAAATGCTATTTGTTCATGGATGGAATTACATTTCAGAATGTAACAGTGAACTACAACTGAGGGTCCTGTTTATCAGGAGTATACAGAAAACATGGCAGAGTGGTCTAACTGGTTGTGATATTACTGCAAGTACAGTAATCAATGGCTTGGTCAGTACACAACAACCACAATGGTTGATGATGGGTGATGGATGCAAAGTACATATGCTGAAGAGCTACCTTGCAGATGCAGCACTGAAAACTCTACACTGTCTTTGTCCCCAGCAGTGCAGGTTTGTTTTTTGCTTTCACATGAAACAACTTTTCTTTTACTACATTTTTACTACAGAAATGAGAACACAAGTACATATTACATACCAAATCTTACAAATCAAGGAACAAAAACAGAGGTATACTGAAAGTAAGATCTGTTTGAACATTAACAAGACTTAACCGTTCTCTTGACTGCCTCTAGGTAGATATCTAGAACTGGTGACGTGAGGTATGAACACAAGTTTTTTGTGTAACAGAAAGTAGAAAATATCAGCAGACTGACGGTGGCAATGGTTCCAGCCACATTTACTTTGAATTCCACTCTACAACTCCTTAGGCCGGGTTCACACCTAAGTAGCACCGTTGTTGCGCGTTTGTACATGCCGGTTCTGCGTGCGGTTATTTGCGCGTACATAAAAGACGCGCATTTTGACTGGCAGCTCATGAAACCTTGCGGGCAATGGACGAATGCACATTTAAACATGCACAAAAAAGTACAATATGCTTCTGCCGCGTGTTTTCATTGAAGTCTATGGGGCAAACACGCACTTAACTGGTCAAATAACCTTTTCGGGCGTTTGACGTTCTCCTGCTGGCATTTTCCTGCTCAGGTGTGAACAAGGGCCATTGAAAATCATGGGATTTCTTGTGTTGGGCACTTAAAAGCGCTTTTCCCACTGCTCAATAATGCCTAGGTGTGAACCAGGCCTTAGTATGCATATTTTTCCCCAAACAGGAAGTTGCAATTAAAAAAAGGGCATTGGGGAATAGTATGTAGACAGTAACATTGTTTTATAGGTCTGTAGAGACATGTTGAGTGGAACCGCAGACAAGTGTAATGATTACAAGCTCTATCATGTTTTTTTGTCATGTCCACACTATAGAAATTTCTTCCACATCCAGTTATGTCCCTGCGACAGGAAGTGGGAGAAAACTCTACAAATGGAGATGAACTGCAATGAAAAAAAACGGACAAAAGGTGCAAACCCTTCCCCAATTGATGCAAGAGGCACACAAGGTTTTGGGTGCAATGCTACTTTACAGAACAATGCCATCCAACAATCCATTAACTCCTGGTGAGAGAATGGCTTCAAAAGATGGTTCCACTGCATCCTTTCAACAGCTGCCATACATGCTGCATACAGACAGGAGTCCTAGCTCAGATCCTAGACCTTTCCTCTGATATGGATGGAGAAATTAGGTGGAATTATGTCTAAAGAGATGAGCCCGTATAGGGTCAGTGTGATCTATCCCAGTAAATCCGAATTCTCCTGAACGTGTCCATCCAGATTAAACAAAGGATGGATAAATGGCAACAGAAACTACAAATCCGCACACACATTCAGAAGAATATAGAAATAAAATCAGGCCAGAATGGATCAAAGTCACCCGATTTACAGAATCACTCTATCATCTCTCTATACTGCAAGCTGAATGGTGGCTGCTAAAATCAAACACAGGTAGAAAATCTTTCAGCTAGAAACACAAAAAATTAACAGGATAACAAGGCACGTGCTTTAAAGTGACACTAAAAACTAAGGAGTTAAATCTTCAAAATGCATTCAAGTATCTTAACTATTAAAAAAAATGTATCTTGTGCATCACTCGGCTGTAGACCCTCAAATCATCTCTGAATTGGTGCTGACACTGTCCTTCCTTCTGGAGGGTGGCTACTTTGGTTCCCCATGGTCCTTGTGTGTGTTGTAAAGTAGTCACCGCTCCAAGCTTACTCATGATGAACTACAATCTCAGGTTTAGTTTACGAATTTGTATTGAGGTTGAAGTCCATCATGGGAGTGAGCTTCGAGTGGTGACCACTTTTCAACACACACAGGGACCATGTGGAACAAAAAGTAGTCACCCTCCAGAAGGAAGGACAGTGTCAGCACCAATTCAGAGATGATTTGAGCATCTACAGCTGAGTGATACACAAATAAGACACATTTTTAATAGTTCAGGTACTTGAATCCATTTTAGAATTTAACTCCAGAGTTTAGTGTCGCTTCAAAACATCAAATTTTAGCAAATAATGACGTTTCTGTAGTGTTCTGTAAAGAGAACAAAGCACAACAGTGCTTATGCAAGAATCTAAACATTCAGTCTTACTCTTAATTTATGAAAGATTTATATTTGTCCCCCTGATTTAGCCCAACCAGGTGCCTGACTCTTATAGCATAACTGCACAGTTATCCTCTTGGCCCTCGTTTCCAGCCCAAGATATATATTCACCTGAATCAGACAGCTACCAGGGACCTTCAGAGCCTCTCCTGGCCCTATAGAGATCTATGGGGAGTGCACAGGCACTGCCAGTAGAATAAAGATATTT